ACTTGTAATGATGCTCTTGCCCCAGCCTTCCAGTTTCTGGGATTACAGGCATGTGCCACCATGCCCAGATTCCCCAGTTATTTTAAAACAAAGCTTTACCAGTATTAGTCTGGGTTGGAAGTTTTTTGCTTTGGGGGCTTCAAATGTTTTACTCCAGGCTCTTGTAGTGTACACAGTTTGTACTGAGAAATCTACTGTAATCTTAACGGGTTTACCTTTACATATGTGATTTTTTTTTCTCTGACAGATTTCAAGATTCTTTGTGTTGGATATCTGGAATTGTGACTAAGGTGTTTTCAGGAACTTCATTGTTCACTGTAGTTACCAGTAGATGATGTTCTTTAAGCTTTGCTTAACTCTACTTTGAAATCTTTCCTCATACTTGGGAAGTTTTCTAATATGATTTTTGTTGGCTTTTGTAGTTTGAGACAGCGTCTCACTGTTTAGTGCAGGCTGGCCTCAAATTCAAGGCAATCTGCCTGCTGCCTCCTGAGTATCAGGATTACAAGCATACACCACCACATCTGGCTCTTTTATATTTGTGAACAAATTTTTTATTCCTCAGAGACTGTCATCCAGTCTCACTCTAACTCTAATTAGCCTTAGCTTGGTCTTAATGTCATCAGGTAGCTGTTTTGTTCGTTTTTAAAGATTTATTAATTTATACAACTTACTTTTCTGTCAGTTTCAAAAACCTTGCCTTCTCATTAATCATTTCTGCAATTTATGAATTCTATACAAGTTTTATATCCAGTATTTCTGTCTGACACATTTTTGTGGAGTGTGTATCTTTGGCAAATTACCCATTCAGGTTTTGAACAATGTGTTCAGCTTTTGCTATTATTTTATTTGTTTCTCCTGTAACTATGTTATTCTCTATATAATTCCATGAACTTTTGGGTCATGTCCTCTTTGGTCTCACCATTTCTTTACCTCTTCTTTAATCAGTTCATAAAGTTCTTCTGCCTAGTGATTGCTTCCCTCTCCACCAGTGCCCCCTAGACATTTTGTTGCCTTTTTCCCCATGTTCATGTGTGAGTGTATTCATATCTACATGTAGATATATTTCTTTGTGCTGACAGTTGAGGTCAAGTAAAGCAAGGACAGATTGTAGCCAAAATAAAGACATTTTTAGTCTTCCTTCTATCCATGTGTTCATGACTGTATTTGTCCGGAGATACTGTTCACCCCTTCTGCTATTTAATTTAAACTGTGTTGGGCTGAGAAAATTACTGTTATTTACAACAGCATCAACAGAACTGATCACACATCACTTGTGCATACAAGTTAAACCTTGCATTTACACTTTCCTCCTGTCTCAAAAACCTTTACAGCCTATACTATTGTATTACTAGTATTTCATCTGTGATGTGGAAGGAGAAGGAAGGGAAGAGATTAAGGAACAAATGGTTGAACCAGAGTGTAAGTTAGGAGTGGAGAGGTAGATAGGAAAAACAATAATAGGTTTTAAAAAAACAGATTGGGGGTCAGATTCTATTAAAGGATGTTTTTTGAGTTGGAGTAAAGGGTTTTAAGGGAATATTTGTGAGGCAGTGAGGTGCAGGTGGAGGGAGGTGTAACTTAGGATTAAGGAAAGCTGTGAAGTCATCAGACCCTGTTGATAGATTTGCACACCTGTGAGAGGGAAGAGAAGCTTGGGAAGACAAGGGCTAGGTACCATAAGGAAGAGTGCAAGGACAGAAGATAGGACAAAAGGTTACTGTGAGAATGGATGGGAATACAGGGGAAACAGTTGAAAGGAACTCAAAACATGGGAGAAACGGGTTAAAAAAAAACTTTAAAATAGTTTGCTACACAAGCCAGAATTGAAGAAAAGGGATAAAGAGGTGAGATGGGAGAGAGAGAGAAAATAACAACTAAATCAAAGAAAAAAAATGTTGACAGAGTCAGATCTAGCACTCAGTACGATCACACACACAAATTCTTTCCTGACCACTATATCATAAAGCCTGAGTGTCCACACAATTCCTTTCTTGTCTTAGTTGTAGTCTGACTGTGAGCAGCCACACACAGATTCCACAGCAGGACATGCAGGATGCACTAGACAGGCAGGTGGGTGGGTGCACACACTGGTGTTTCGGGGGGACAGGTGGGTGCATGACTCACACTGACTTCTGAAAGAGTTGTCCACTGTTCATTGTTTATCCTCTCTCTGGCCACAGTCGGGAGAGGGGGCTTCCCTACAGGAACACAGTTTTCTCCAGTGTCTGGTAGTGAAGGCAGGGCTGGTACATTCAGAGTCTGTCAGCTCTCATTTGATCCCTCACACTATTTGTAACTTTCCCATAATGTCAGCTCCGGCTTCCTCTTTTCAACCATTCAGATGTTTGATTTGATCAACATATATCATCTTTCCCATTAATTTTCCATTTCGAGTGTAAGCCCTTCCTCCACTTCAGAAACACTTTTGTTCTCAGTGAAACCTCTCCGAGCATCTCCTACGTGACTCCACCTCTAGTTGGCCATGTTGGACTTCTCCCAAGAAAATTTTAGCATCTACCCTAGAATAAAGAAATTGCTACAGATCTCTTTAAAAGACTTTAAGAATCTTTTACACTCTGGTCTTCAAGGCATAAAATCTGCTTTCAACTTGGAGGTAGTGAGATAGACAAGAAACTGCCCAGCTCTTCCCTCTTCCCCTCCACTGAGTAGAAGTACATGTGTTCCAACCAACAGCTTTCACATGCCTCTTCCTTGCCCCTAAGGGGGTACTGGGAAACTGGCCCCAGTGTCTTCCACCACCCCTGTTATTACTTCACAGACTACTTTCCAGGCAGCTCAGCTGACTAGTGCAGTGCCCAAGTGGTAGGAAACTGCCCTTGATAAGATTAAAACCAGGAGGGACCTGGGACCCAGGGCCATTATCCCTGAAATCCCCAAGCCCAGTGAACCATAAGCAACACGGCAGACCTTCCTGGAGATTCCTGAAAAGCTGAGCTAGTCATCATCTCAGCCTTGCTCTTTTCATGAAATGGCAGCTGTCAATAAAGGAGCTGCTTCTCCTAATGTTCCACTGAACTGTCACCATGACAGCTGAAGTTCTCCTGAATACCCTGCACCTGCTCCAGATGTCTGCCTTGGTGCAGCAGGCTTGAATTTACCCCAGTCCTGGATGACACCATGGCAGGGCTGAACTTGAACGAATCACCAGCCCACAAAACGTACAAAACAGCAAGGGTCCACTGCTGCTCCATGTAAGCAACATCCCCTCACACTCCTCAGGCTGGCCTAGGAGGGCTCCCCAGTACACTGACTCCCACACTAGAGCACAGGCCGCTTCATAGTCCTATGATTCATTTCTCAGAGAGCCTGCAATGTCTTGTAAATCTAGCCAACATTATCTTGGGTAGTGTACCAAGCAGGTCACATTAAAAGGGATTATAAATACAGGGGCCTTCTGGTCCACAGGTTCCAGAGACCAGCAGCAATCAATAAAGACCGGCAAAGATGAGCAGCACCAACCAGCAGTGGCCAGCATCAGTGAGCATGGAACAGCACTGATGACCCAGAAACAAAAACTGGAGGTGCTGAAATCCAGAGGTGTTGACTGACAATGGTGACAATTTTGCAGCATTTGGCAGAAACAAGTGGAGACCTGCTGAGGGCCACAAAGAGGCAATAGGAACTTCTGGAAGAACTGCAGAGTAGCTCCCAAGAGGGCAATAACCTTTGGTTGCCAAGCACTGATGTGGCAGCTGGGAGCTACTGAGAGCCCTAACACTGACAGCCACGGCTACCCAGAACCCAGAGCTGTAGCACTAAGGGCTAAGGGCTTAAGAAACAAGCCTGGTTTCCTCCTACAGTGAGAAAAATTAAGTAAATGTATGAGACACCTAGCAGTGTCGGGAGCGTGACAGATAGGAAATGAGAGTCCATGGGTTTTATATACTGATGTATTGCCAGAAAAGTAATTTGATACATTCTAGATTTTTCCAGAAGCTCACAGTTTTCTTAAATACACCAATTGAAAGAGGAGGGGAAAGAGAGGACAAGGGCATGTGCTCTTGAGTAGCTCTGTCCTACTCAGAGCTTTCAGCATCTTAGGCAGTGAGCAGTTGGGGCCTCATGTTGTCCACCACTGCTGAGATCACGGCACCTGCAGCCTTCACCCCTTCCACCAGGGCATGCTCCACCTGCAAAGCACATCAGTTAGCAGGATAGTCCCTGCTTGCCTTCCCCCTACCTCACCTCCACCACTTCCCTGTAGGAGTCAACTGCTGGGCGTTTTCTCCTAGAGGAGGAGCAAGGCTATGCTGCCCTTTCTCCAAAATCTTACAGCTGCAGACCAAGAGAAGCTGGGAGGATGGATACAGACCTCCAAGGCAGCCAGCTTCCTTTCCCCAGGAGGCATCCGGGGCTCCTGATCCTTTTCTATCACACAGGCTCTGCCCCCAGAGCAGAGGATCCTTTGTAGGTCCTCTACAAAGTATCTACCTCTGCCTCTTATTCTACAACAGCAACTAAGCCAGGGGAAATCCTGACCAGAATCATACAATTAGTCAATATACAAACTCAGCTCCGGGTTGTGCCATGTGACTCCTGGGCCCAGGACTCTTCCCAATCATGCTCTAGATTGGGTCTTCTTCTCACAGAAAAATACCAGTGCTTACCAAGCCCCTGGGCCGGATGCAAGGCCTCACAAGGGTGGAGTTCAGGAAAGTGGAGGATGAAAAGCACTGAGGAATAAGATGTAGAAAGCAAAGGAGGAGAGGAAGTGGGTAGAGGTCCACTGTCATCGTCTACTAAGAGGTGTACAAAAGGAGTGGGGAAACCAACAGTGGACTGTAAGCCCAGTCTAAGAAAAGCAGGGGCAGACCCACAGAAAGAGTATGGTCTACCTTTAATCCTCAGTTTCTTTCACCTACTTGTAATATTCATTCTTTTCTCATGGCATGGAGTTTTAACAAAGATTCCCCCATTAGCAAGAACAGCCTAAATGGTTACAGATACACAGGCTTCCAGGGCTCTTTCACATGCACTGTGTGTACCACATTTAGTTTACTTCTGCATTTCATAGGGGAGGAGAGACCCCGGGGCAGTGCAGATGAGCATGGCAGCTGTGAGTAGAACAGTGGTCCACGGTCCTACAGCACACAGAGCCACAGCACGGCCCCCAAGAGCACTAGATGCAGGAATGCTGGCCGAACATCCTGATCCATTGATCATTCAAGATAAGCTGGGAATCCAGATCTTTTTCTGTAAAATTTCTGTTTTTTAAAGTTGCCAAGTAACTCAAACTAAAAAAACAATAGTGTATCTGAAATGCAGCCCACAGGCTACAAATTTGCAACTCATGACAAAGTATCTACTTCCATTTATCTTCCTTCTATGAAGGAAGAAACAGTCTCAGAAAAAGCACCTTTGCCAAGGGGACCACCCTCAGCAGTGATGGAGCCAGGACTTCAACAAGGCAGGCTTCCCATTAGGTCAATGCTTTTTCTACTCCTCCAAGGGTAAATGGTGGGGTAAATGCCTCCTGAACCACACAGACCTGTAGGAGCATAAAGCCTTCTAGTACAGCAAGCAATATGGTAGGATGAATGATGGCTTTTCTGGTGACTGAGGAGATGGCACAACCCAAGCAAACACCACAAGGAGCCACAAAAAGACAGGGGCCACACCTGCTGGCTCCTGGACACGCCATATCTGAGGTTATTGACGAAGTGCTCACAGTTCCCCTCAATCAGGCTGTACTGAACAATCTTGTTGATCATCTTCTTTGTACGCTGAATGATTCTGTCCACAGGCAGGGGCAGGTACGTCCCATCCAGTTTGTTGTTAACCGTCCAAGAGCAGCCATGCAGCACATCCTCTAGACGACTGTATTTTACAAGTGCACGGTTGCTAAACACAGAAGTAATACTGCCAACTTCAAAGTCCTCACCTGAAGATCAGAGATAAATGGAAGTTAAAAAGTTGCTAGGGGTGGCAGGGGACAGCACTGGCTCAGCCTAAGACTAGAAGAGGAAGAGATGAAGTAAGCCTTTTCAAAGAAGTCTTTTGCCCCAAACTGCACTCTCCTCTCACTACCTAGCAGGAATCTCTTACTGTTAACTCTCAAGGTGACATACAGTATGGCCCTACTAGATTGCACAGGCCCAGTCAAGTCCTAGGCCTTATCTTATTTCTTAACCAGAATCCACTAATCTGCAGTCCCTCTTTAGGGGGCTACCCTGTTCACAATCATGGTAGTTCCCAAACATGCTTCCCTGTGTGGGTGCAGATGAGGTCCAGCTGTCAGGACACTGAATGGCATCCACTCCCACCAGCAACCACCCAGAGCCCCTTGGCATTTATCTCTGCTCAATATAGGGATTTTGACTAAGGGTTTGTTTGAAAATAGGGCTCCACTCCAAAGCTTTGAGAAAGAGAGACACTGGAAACCTACCAGATTACCATTTTTAATCCTTAGAAGAGACAGAGACTCAGAGAAGAAAAGGAACCTGCCCAAGGCCAGGTACATGATCATTTAAAACCAGCTAGAAGATAGGGTTTTGAATGCTATCACAAAATAAAAGATAAACATTTGAGGTGATATGTATACTTTTTTCTCCAACATGATCATTTCATGTTGAATATGAGCTCATCTGTCAATTTAATTGGATTCAGATGAGCTGGATTGGGGATTTAGCTCAGTGGCCTCTGGATTTGATTTTCAGCAATAATTAGAATAAGAATAATGCAAAAGAATGCATAGCAGATTACTAAAGCATGTTCCTGGGTGTGTCTGGATAGATTGTGGGGATGTAACTTTAGGCACTATATATACAGTCCTTTGCCCGTTTCTCTCTGGCATGGTTTCCCTGCTCTGCTTCTTAGCTGCCATGAACTAAACAGCTTTGCTCTACCATATTCTTCCACTGTAATGCCCCTGCTAGCTGACTATGGACTGAGTCCTCTGTGAGCATGAGCCACATTAAATCTCTTCTGCACTAAACTGTGAGTATTCACTATTGTGTCCCAGCAATGGGAAAGCTGGCTCATGCAATATCTGTGTATGCGAACATCACACTGTAGTCCTAAATATCTACCCTTATCATGTCAATTTTTAAAAGATTGTTTTCGAGGGCTGGGGATATAACTTAGCAGGCACTGACCCTGACTGGCAAGTGTGAGTTTGTGAGCTCAATCCATGGTACCAAAAAAAAGAAAAAAGATTATTTTTCTACCATGAAAATATGTGTGCCTATCTCTTTGTAAGTTATCCAAGACCAAGAAATGTTGTTTAAGTTGATATTTTCAAGAAAACCTGCAGATCTTACAAAAGTTAGAAGGAAATTCAGCATTTGGGAACAGAGATGCCAGAATTCATCTTTAGAGGGACATCTAATGTAGGGGCATAACAGTTAAAGATATTCTTTGGTTTTACAAGAGGAAAACTCTTAGATTTAACCTGGAAAGGAGAAGTGGAGATGAATTTTGACATTCTTTGATTAGGCTTCTACACAGGAAATAGGGACAAGTGGGTGGGGCTGAGTGGACAGATGATGAGAAACTAGCCCTACAGACAAGTGCCCGTAAAGGGCAGGACTGGGTCAAAGGTCAGGGCTGCACACAGGATGACAGCTGCAAATAAGCTGTGGCCAGCAGCCTTTGGTGCTGTGCTCTCCTGTAATTCCATTCCATGGGACACAGAACTCAAAAGGCAATAGGAAGCACCACTTTTTGGCCCTGTTCTGGCCCCTGAAGCAGCCACTGAGAGGAGGGGGTCTAGGTTTCCAATTTTAGGGAAAATGTTCCACACTCATTTGTAATCTTCCCCTATTGTCACCACCTGCTTCCCATCAAATCCCCACCAAAACAATCAACCACAACTTCAAGCTGAGCCTTGTATTCCTGCTGTCCTGAGAAATGAAAGGACTATGCGTGGAGCATGGGGGAAGCAGCCTGAAGCACGGCAGGGAAGCAAGAAGACAGGGCAGGCTTACAGATGACAGGGATGACCAGGGAGCCAGGGGCAGCATTTGGGGACAACAGGAATAAGTCACTTGTTTCCTCAGAAATGCAAGGGGTAATCAAAAAGTAAATGACTTCACTTTAAAATTGTAAAAGACACATTGACATGAATTCTCCTCAAAATGCTTCCTGATTCAAACGCATTTACCCCATCATTGTTGCCCCTTTCTGAAGCAATTCTGGAGGTCCTTATTCCTGTTTTTATAAGATGTGACTAAAAATACCATGACTGTTGCTGCCAAGTGCCATTGTAAGGAAAGGCAGATTCATAAAAACATGACACCATGTCCTGATCACCTTGTTCACCAGTTCTGGCACCATGCAACTTCTGCCTCTTCCCCAAATTCAAAGTGACCACAAAAGTGACACATTTTGAATTGGTTCAGGACATGGAAACATCCACAACAGCTCAACTAAAGACTCAGGAGAGAGGGTTCCAGAGCTGCTGCAAAAAGGGGCGAGAACAATGGTATGAGTGTGTTTGAAGCGAATGGGGGGATTCTGAGGAAGATTCATGGTAACATGTTTTACAATAAAAAAAGTTTTTGTAATTTAAATACATGCCGTATTTTTAAATCACACCTGATATGAAGGATGCTGGCCCACTATCAATACAAAATGGAGGCTCAAGTTACTAAATCTGTATTTAAAGGAGAACATAAGGGGTTTGGGGAGCATACTGTACACTAGTGTCACGCTTAGGGCTTGCCATCAGTGGTTACCAGTGAACAGAGACCAAGTTCTGCCACACAGCAAACAAAGGGCCAGACAAGCTTCCAGGATCAGCTGAGGAAAAGTGACTGACTACATGCATTAACTTTGCTAACTTCAGTATCATGATTTCAAATAGGGTATCCACTCTTACTCGGGGGAGCCAGATGGACCACACAGTCATCTTCCACATAGATGGCCCAGTGCTCATAGCCAACTCGGAAAATCTCAATCAGGTCTCCAGGTCTGGGTCTCGATTTGCCCTATGGTGGGGAAAAAAATATAAACTGCACCTGCCCAAAGACTCCAGAGTCTTTAGGGATCAGCTGTGAGTACCCTCACTTTGCAGAAAGAACCTCGAGATGGCAAGAGCTCTCTCCACAGAGGACCTGGGACTCCTCTCTCCTGCTGCCACTTCTATATCACCCCAGCCCTGAGCACACCAACATGTGCCCTGCGATAAGGAACTGAGTTCCCTAAGTACTTCTCCTTGGATATAGGCATGGTAAGCTTCTGGGTAGAGTGCAAGAGGGGAAATGCATGGGGCAGGGTCCCCTCCAGCTTGGGGTTGGAGAGGGAAGATACTAGTCAGGGTGTGGCACAAGGATGCTTGGTGAACTTTGCCTCAGCTGGAAACCCTTGATGTCATCCCCCTGCACCTTGACCTTGTGATAACCTTTCTGGGCCCCATTTCACAGGCAGCCAGTCCTACCCTGGCTACCCTAATCCCCTCCACTGTACCCTTCATGCCCTCTTGCAGCCACATCCCCTCCCCTGTGCATCCACCCTAGTGCTGGCCATGCTTGTGCCACAAAGAGCAGCAACCTAGCCAGCCTAGGGGACCTCTTGGCTAGCAGGAAGCTGAGCCACTTCTGCAGTAGGGCCTGAGCCTCTTCCCAGTGGATACTGCCTGAGTTCTGTGCCTCAGCCCCGAGGATTTTAGATAGGGTCCTCATAGCTTAGTCCCACATCATGTTTAATAATTGTTTGTGCTTCTCGTGTTTAGCCCTGTGTGGTTTCTACCTTCAAGTTGGACTGAGATTGCTAATATAGTCTCCCAAATATGCCTGGAAGACAGTGTTCAGTTAACAAGTATTTGTGGGGAGGGGTAAGCAACGTACACATGAAGGGGTGGGTACAGAAGTGTGAATATGGTGAGCAACAGCACTGTTAACAAATATTCACTGCAGTCCTGGACACAGTCTAAATGGTATATGCCTCCACTCTAATGGAGGTAAAGCGATGTTAAGATGCCTCAATCAGTGTGTAGGTGGACATGAACATGTGAAGACATATGTATGGTTAGGGATGTGCTGGAGAATGTGAGAATTCGTGTGTGTGACATAAACATGCTTGCACATATGTACACAAACATACAGATGGACATACACAGGTATCTGTGGGTCCATAAGTGTGATAGTAGCTAAGTGTTCTCACATTGCACACATGTAACAAGTTCTTGTGCTCCCTCTAAGAATTTGTTTCTTGCAATAAGCAATCTTTTATCCTTCCTACTCCAAGAAGGTGCTGGGTAACATAAAATCTCATCTATGTTCTGATTCTCAAACTTCTCATGTTTGCCGTCTGTCCTCTCCTTTGCTTGGTAGTGGTGCTGGGAAAGGGCTCTATTTACTGATGACTCTGGGAAGGCAGGCTGAGACACAGAGCCATCCACCCACCCACTTCCCAACAGCACTACTCCTTACCCTAAATGTGCAAGGACTTTCTCACCAGCAAGTCTAACTTCTGTGGGGCTATGTATCTCTTCCCAGCTACAGCACCACTCTCCTAGCTGCAGACAGTCATTGGCCACAGCAAGCACTCCAGAAGTAAAGGGGATTTTATACTTGTTTCTTTTCAAGGTTTTCTCAGATACAAATACAATCCCATACAATGTATGCATTTAAAGTGTACAACTTGATTTTTAGTAATCTAGAAAGTTTGTACAAGAACAGGACCACTGTCCCAAATAGATTCCTCATGCCCATTTGCAATCATTCTACTTCCCACCCTCAGCCACAGCCAACCTTGTACATCCCTTCGTCACCTGCCCTCCTCAATCTCCACCTGGACAACCTCATCTGCTTTCTGTCTCAGTGGATTCATCCCTCTGGATACCTCACATGCACAGATCATGACACATGTGGCCTGTGCTTCTGTTTCTCTCAGTTGGCATGTCTTGGCAGAATAATGCCACATAAGATTTATGCCCTGGTGTGCTTGGTGTGTCTTGGAAGGGTCACACCATGTGTGCTCTGTGGTCTGATCTCCCTACTTGGCACGTCCTGACTCCATCAAACTGCAGCACACACCACACCCCATTATATGGGCACAACCCAAATGGCTTAACTGTTTTGTTCTTTTTCAATACACTTGGCTATTCTAGGTCCTTTGTATTTCTATGTAAGCTTTAGGATCACTTTGTCAATTTATACAAAAAACACACCTACATGCATATTTCAAAAGAAATTACATTAAATGATTGATTAATTTGCTGGATTATCATTTTCATATTATAGAGTTTTCCAATTCACAAATATGGACTCTTCTTTTTTTTTAATTAATTTTACAGGGGTCTTCTGGAAGATGGTGGAGTGATGTGCAGAAGAAAAAGAGCCTCTCCAAGATTTGGTGTCCAGACACTGGAATATAGTAGCATGAGGAAGATAAGGTGGACTGAAGTGGGTCCCCAGGACCCAGCAAGGATCTGAAGAAGAACTGAAGCATTCAGGGAGAGCAAAGAGAGAGATTTCAATGAAGGAGATGGCAGGTGGCACTTTCTCCTTGTGCCCTGACTTGCTGCACAGGAGGGGCAGCTCCAACCTACAGTCACACAGTGACCACTGGCCACCACAGAGAAATGCAAGTGTGGAATGTAGCAATGGACACAGTGAACTTCAGTGGCTGCTAAGTTACTCAGGTTCAGTTGTGCCCCAGGAGAAGGCGATTGGCCAGTAGCCATCTTGTAGAGGGGCTAACTGAGCTCAGCACTCAAAGCAGCAATGAGCCATCAGGCAGCTCCCAAAGTCAGGATAAGGTTGCCAAGTTCAGACCAGCAGGAGATACACAGAGTGTTACAGACTAAGTAGACTGAGTTCCAGCCTCACAGCCAGAAATCAACCTGAACTTTAGGAAATAAAAATTCCAGTGGGATTATCTTCTACCTCACCATAAAGCTGCAACCATAAAGCTTGCAGGATTAATCAGCTCAGATCTGAACTCTGTCTCCCCATGTTACCTACCAGTGACCACCTTAAAATGGACATCTTTTTCTTTCTTTTTCTTTCCTTTATTGTTTTTGTTTTCATTTTATTTTGATTTGTCTTTGTTGTTCTTTTTATATGAGGGCAAATATGGTTTCTAGTTTTGTTGCTCTCTTCTGTTCTTGCTTTATTTCTTCCTTATCTTTTTCCCTTCCCACCAGTTTCCCAAAGTTTACATGATCTTCCTCTGTCCTCCAGTCTTACTTCTAATCTTTTTCTCTTTTTCTATTTCTCTATTTTTCACCCAGCCCACTTTAAATTTTCTCCCCTGAGGGTGAAGTCACCATATTGAGGATTTATTTACCATATAAAATTTTCTGGCTCATTTTAGATTTTGTTATATAGCCACAAATCTAGTTCATATAGTTTGTTGTAAAATTAATAAAAAAAGAAGAGTCCATATTTGTGAATTGGAAAACTCTGTAATATGAAAGTGATAATCTTCAGCAAATTAATCAATCATTTAATGTAATTTCTTTTGAAATATGCATGTAGGTGTGTTTTTTGTATAAATTGACAAAGTGATCTTAAAGCTTACATAGAAATACAAAGGACCTAGAATAGCCAAGTGTATTGAAAAAGAACAAACTAGTCAAATCTAAAGATGGCTAATTAATACAGTTACCACAGTTTGTCATTTTCTAAACTGTGTTTGATGATACTATTACTGCTGGTTGCACTACATTAGCCAAGGTGACAGAATTGTCCTAATCCATTATTCTTCCTGGTATACCAAGACTAAAACTGCCTAAGAATCATAAACAATACCATAGGCCGGCACCAAAGAATCAGGCTCTGGGCCAAGTAGACAGCAACTTCTCATCTCCGATAAATAGAGAAATAAGATGTTGCAACAGACTCAAAACCCAAAATCCAGGTACACCTGGAAGACATCACTGAAAAGTGATAATTTCTAGGGGTTCTAAATACTAGCAATAAAGCTATTTACCATAAGCAATTTACAAGCATCAACCTAGGAATTAAGTGAAGAAAATAGAAAATACGAGCACACTTGAACAAGATGCAAACCCCAGACTTGCAGCTCACCAAAAACAGACCCAAGGGGCAAAGAGGTGGAACAATTCTAAAGCCACCTACTTCAACTTCTGATATGGTAACAGCAGAAGTAAAAAAGCATATGAATGAGAGTCTAGAAAAAAACTCAAATCAGGAGTAATTTCCCAGATAACTGCAGAAATGGTGAGCATACTGAAAGACATGGTCAGTGACTCTAGAGCAGACACAGATTTAAAAAAAGAGACACTTAAGAAAACCCAATATAAGAAACATCCAACATAGGAAAGGAATGAAATGCAATGAAACAGATATCCAAGAGACTAAAAATTCCATTAAAAGTATATGCAGCAGAATGATCCAATGAGTAGACAGGACATAAGATACAGAAGACAGGATTGTGGTTAGTGTTCTTAAAAATTGCAAGTAACTACAAGAAATCAATTCAGTGGCTGCTAGACGATATGAAGAAGAATAGTGTAAGATTGGTCTGAATCAGTGAAAAATCAAAAGAAGGTGCAAAACACATTAAAAAAAAAAACACCTGTTCACAGAAGTAATGGCAGAAAACTTCCCTGGCAGGGAAAAAGAATTTGACATATAGATAAGTGAAGGATATTGTCTTAATTACTTTTTACTCGTCGCTGAGACAAAATACCTGAAGCCCAAGTTGGAAAAGGAAAGGTTTATTTCTTACAGTTTTTGGAGGTTTCAGTCCACACTCAGTTGGCTCCAAGACAGGCGGGCATGGCTGGACCCCAGTTCATGGCAGCTGCCGATAGCAAGCTCGAACCAGCAAAGAGAAAGACACACCTTCTTCCTGCCATTACATCACATCCTGGCTCCACCCCTTTGTGGGTGGAGCACTGACACCATCAATCCAAGCACTATACAATGAACCATCACAAATGAACAATGCAAACTCATGAGGCCTGGGGGCACAGACATAAACCATGACAGATATAGAATCCAAACTAATCACAATA